GTAGTCTCACCTGGTAGATAGAAGTCTTATATACACTGTAATCTCTCGTACAATTTAAAAACCATTACACTCGAGCTGTCTAGTCATGTCTATATTTAACTATGCTATGGTATGTGTTACACGTAAATAATTCGTCTTTATTGAATTCTTCCTGACCGTACATATGTATATCGTAATGCTGTATTTCCTGTCTAGATGTAGCAGTATGTAATGTCTATACCAATAATTTTACGGTTATAAGGTTAGGGTGACTCATACTGTTTAGTTATATGAACAGGTAATTAAAATCTTACATTAGAATCGTCCTTCATTCCAGGGATAACTAATTTTAAAACATTTAAATAAATTGAATGTTACAAAAAATATTTTATTCTATCTGTTTAGTCAATCTAGGTACAAGGTATTAACAATGAACAGCATCAAAATCCTACTAGTCTACAGTATGTTGGTATTAAGACAAGCAAATGCTCCTTCTGTAGTAACATCCTCCGCTATATCAAACTATATACAACCCTCTCAATACCTTACATCGCTGTCCATACCTGTACATAGAAAGCACCTCACAGCTCAGCACAAAGACCTCTATACATGTACATAATGAAAATTACTCTATGCCCTATAAAACGTTTTCTGTACCTGTATATAGAGAACCTTTCCATAATCTACAGCGTTATTTATACCTTTATTCATAGAACATCTCCATTCTTTCCACAACACCCGCTAAACCTGTACATAGAAAACATCCAATCTCTGTACAAAGACCTCAATGTATTTTATATAAAAGGACGTGTCAATACTCAGTGTAAACACCATCTACACCAACACATAGAGAAAACCTCTATATTTTCTGTAAATAACTCTCTTCCTGTAAATAGAGAACATTTCAATAGTCTGTACAAAGACATTTACACCTGTACACAGAGAACGCCAACATACTTTGCGCAGTTACCTCTATAACTATACATAGACACTTTAATACTCTTTTGAAAGTTGTCAATACCTGTACATAGAGAACACCTTTATACTCTCTCAGACAATGACCTCTACACCTTGTGTAAGGACCACTACACCTTGTGTAAGGACCACTACACCTTGTGTAAGGACCACTACATCTCTACATAGAGAACACCTCCATATTATGAACAAATCTTAATATATACCTGAACATGGACAACATCTCCATACTCTGTCAGACAATAACCTCTACACATGTACATAGAGAACACCTCCATACTCTGTATAAGGACCTATAAACCTGTATACAGAGAATACCTCGATACTCTGTACCAAACTCTCTCTACCTGCACATAGAAAAAAATCACCGATATTTTGTACAAAGTCATCTTTTCCTGTTTATCAAGAATAAAAGTCTGTTTGGATACATATTTATGTTAAATTTTATGAAAATTAAGTACGAATATTTACGTTTTATTAACTTGAAAGTCGGGCTGTCGAAACTGTCTTCATATTTTTTATACACAGTGAAATGTGATATAAAACCTGGTTGAATTACTGCTGAATTTCACAAGTAAAATAATATTCCGTTATACTGAGTTATCTTTTCTGTACGATTTCATTGCCAGTAAAAAGGTGTATCAGAATAAAAGTAGGCTAGGATCCGCAATGGCGAACAATGGAGGTAAAGAAATACTTATGATAGTAGGATCCGATATTGAACCACGAGGTGAAAAAGCTGTATAGTATAAATAGCTTATCTTAGCTGGTTATGATAATATGTTCATATACTTCAAAACATCGGAAGGCCAAACACTCTATGTAAATATACATAACGGGGTTTTAATAAGGCTTACTGCTATAGAATTTTACAAAGACTTGTTTTCTTTGAGTCTTTATTTACATATCAGAGTAAAAGATTTAAATTTGCATTTTTATTTCATATCATTGATGTATTGGAGTGTGTCCAATATTTTTATATGAAATATAGGTCATTTCTTAACTCGTGTTAGTATTTGAAGTCACACGCTTCATATCGCACAAAGAAATAGCACCTCTCTGAATGAGATCGCGATGACGACCATAAAACTGTAAATATGCCCTTTTTTGTTAAAAACCATATCAAAAGATTAAGAAAAAATCAGATAAAAATGGTGATTTTTTCCAATAGCATAAATTAGAAATGGTACAGTTCAAATAGCGGTTTAGTACACGAGAGATTTTGTAAAATGCCCAAATGTAATTTACATATAAGATTGCTTAGAGTTAAGTTTGTAGACTACACTTCAAAAATTTTACTGACACAATTAAAAACTAGTATTGGCCTATAATTCGATACGCTTTGTCAGCACTTTTAAAAACTAGTATAGCGTAAGCAAGTTTCCAGTATACATATATATTTGTAGAGATACATTGAATGAAATAGAAAAGGATTGTGCAATTTTTTTGCTTAAAGCTTTCGTTTCTCTGTGAAGCCCGGACGCTTTATTTACATTTAAGAATAGACATATCTTCACAAGTTGTGAAAACTAAATTACAAAATGTGGAATAAGCTTGGTTCGAAATATCTGTATTACGTACATGAACATAATTCCCCTGATTTTTATTTGTGAATTAGGATGTGTATTAAAACCTGCCTTTAACGCCACCTTCATACAAAGGCCACCTGTATAGTCAAGCCACCTGTGTATAAAGGTCACTATTCCTTTTTCTCTAGAATGACCTTTATAGACAGATTTGATTGCAAAATAGTCTTTCAATAATTCATATTTAAGACTATCAACTGTGATAAATTTTGATGCATTTTCTTCATAAAGTGGATATATGCCTGTGTCCTATTTCACTTTAAATAAAAGTTTCGATCTGTTTGGATTAGACAAGTGTTGTCCGCGTCGATTCCGCTATTACAATATTGTAGGGGTATCACAATGGACTCCGAAAGAGATTGGGATCTTTGTTACGAAGCTCCGCACAAGCTTTAGAAATTTAGTAATATAATACATCTATGTGATTTTATTTTAATTACTTCTTTTTTACAAAGACTGAAATCACAATAGAAAGAAAAATATAGAATTTCAGGCATACATTACAGCTATAGGTGTTACCTGCGTGGTGAATTTAGCATAAATTATATACACTAGATGTTCTCAACGACCTTTCATATTTTACTGGCCAGCTAACAATTCCGTTAACCATGCTATACAAAATGACGGTAAATAAGTTTTCATTGAAGATAGATTTTAAAAGATTATATGACTGATGAGTTCAATACAGATATAGCACAGAGTACTATAATATTTTCGTAACTAAGGTTATTCGAATTTTCAAAATTCGGAGATTGAAAGTTAATAGTGAACCGACAGTACAGGTATAATGCTATGAAACCTAGTAATAGAACAATGCACCTGAAATACGTTCGCTTGACTAGACACGTGCTGTTTCAAAGTAGATAACTCTGACACAAGCAATGGCTATGTTTACGTTAAGTTCTGAAAATTAAGTACGAATATTTATGTTTTATTAACTGGAAAGTCGGGCTGTCGAAGCTGTCTTCATATTCTTTATACACAGTAAAAATGTGATATAAAACCTGGTTGAATTACTGCTGAATTTCACAAGTAAAATAATATTCCGTTATACTGAGTTATCTTTCCTGTACGATTTCAATGCCAGTAAAAATGTGTATCAGAATAAAAGTAGGCTAGGATCGCTTCTTCAATGGCGGACAAAGGAAGGAAAGAAATACTTATGATAGTAGGATCCGATATTGAACCATGAGGCGTAAAGCTGTATAGCATAAACAGCTCATTTTAGCGGGTTATGATAATATGTTTATATACTTCAAAACATCGGAAGATCATGTAAATATACATAACGGGTTTTTAATAAGGCTTACTGCCATAGAATTTTACAAAGACTTGTTTTCTTTGAGTCTTTATTTACATATCAGAGTAAAAGATTTAGATTTGCATTTTAATTTCATATCATTGATGTATTGGAGTGTGTCCAATATTTTTATTTTAAATAATATGGAGCATTTCTATGCTGATCAGAATAAACCTACAATAGAACCAAATATCTGTAATGTGTTCACTTGATGGACGCTTGCTGTTTCAAGGGCGATAACTCTGACACATGTATTGGTCTTGGTACAACAGACACAGAGGTAAATAGTGCCTTTCATTTATAAAACTATACAGCATCCACCTATGACACATAAGTGATATAAAAGTTTAGGTTATTGAGACATTGGAAGCGAATGAAGAAAAATCAAGTTGATCAATTAAATTAAAACCATATGGAAGGTTTATTAACTCAAAAATTGAATTATTTGATGATCCAAAGCTGTATCGAAATTAGGATCCGTTCAACTTCCGTCCTTGATGCCCTTATCTTGAAAATGTTGTGTTTTTCAGGTATTGCTATTTCCTGAATGACAAATTATATTGAGATACTGGTATAGGATTTTCACAAACTATTAAACTGTTTCGTGATTTGCATGTGGACCATGCTAAAATTCCGATATAACTAACGGTCGCATTCACAATGGTTACCTTGGCAACGAATATTTATGCAAAGACGAGATGAGAAGGCAACGTTTCTGTTTTTTGTTTTTTGTTTTTTTTTGGGGGGGGGGGGGGGGGGTTTGCAGAGATGTGAATGCACGAAATTATCAGGACATCACTTTGTGGTACTTGTTAAATATTTCACCATTGCAGCTTCGTGGTGAGGTTGAAATATTGTCATATCAACACATGAAAAATATCAACAAAGGATGATATTTTTGTTCGCTTAAAGAAATCATTTCGTATCTAATCCATTTTGATACAGTTTTCGCCAAACCTACAGTCTTCGATAAATTAGAAATAAGACGTTCGTAGGATAAATAGCAATTGGTCTCTCACGAAATCTCTCGCAATGTATTTGAAAATCTAGAACAACGAAGTCACTGATATGGAGGTATGAGAGATAGGGATATTCCATCTGAGAGAGTAAAATTGCCGATATTATGAAACTGTATTTTATTTAAATTTGTAGAACATCTTTTAAAATTCATTTTCGTTGTCACCTTCCTCGTCATCCAAGGAGTCTACACCGACTTCCTCGTAATCCTTTTCAAGGGCAGCCATATCCTCACGAGCCTCGGAGAACTCTCCCTCTTCCATACCCTCTCCGACGTACCAGTGGACGAAAGCACGCTTGGCGTACATAAGATCGAATTTGTGGTCAAGACGAGCCCAGGCCTCGCCTATGGCGGTGGTGTTGCTCAACATACACACTGCCCGTTTGACTTGAGCTAAATCTCCCCCTGGGACGACAGCCGGGCGTTGAAAATTTATGCCTACTTTAAATCCAGTTGGACACCAGTCGACGAACTGGATGGTCCTCTTGGTCTTGATGGTGGCGATGGCAGCGTTGACATCCTTGGGCACAACATCACCTCTGTACAACATGCAGCAGGCCATATATTTGCCGTGACGGGGATCACATTTTACCATTTGACTAGTAGGCTCGAAACAGGCGTTGGTTATATCAGCAACAGACAACTGCTCGTGGTAGGCCTTCTCGGCGGAGATTATAGGGGCGTACGTTGCCAGGGGGAAATGGATACGTGGGTAGGGCACCAAGTTGGTCTGGAACTCGGTCAAGTCGACGTTCAGGGCACCGTCGAAACGAAGAGAAGCTGTGATGGAACTTACGATTTGGGCAAGTAGCCGATTCAGGTTTACGTATGTTGGACGTTCAATGTCAAGGTTACGACGGCAGATGTCGTAGATAGCCTCGTTGTCGACCATGAATGCACAGTCGGAGTGCTCCAGGGTGGTATGTGTAGTCAGCACGGAATTATAAGGCTCAACGACAGCGGTGGAGATTTGAGGAGCGGGGTAGATGGCGAATTCAAGTTTAGCCTTCTTCCCGTAATCTACGCTGAGACGCTCCATGAGCAGGGAGGTGAATCCTGATCCGGTACCTCCCCCAAAGCTATGGAAGATGAGGAATCCCTGTAGTCCACAGCACTGGTCACTTAACTTTCTGATGCGGTCTAGGACTGAGTCAATTAATGCTTTGCCGACTGTGTAATGACCACGGGCGTAGTTGTTAGCGGCATCCTCCTTACCAGTGATCAGCTGCTCGGGGTGGAAAAGTTGGCGGTAAGTTCCGGTCCGGATCTCGTCTAGAAAAAGCAAAAATATTTTAATCAAATCCTAGTAACATATATTTGTTGACGTTGATGGAGCAAGAAAACCTGAGAGGTATTACGTCCACAACAAAGGATTATCATCTTACCTACTACAGTTGGTTCTAAGTCGATGAACACAGCCCTTGGCACGTGCTTGCCAGCGCCAGTCTCGCTGAAGAATGTGTTGAAGGAGTCGTCTTCTTTCCCGATTGTTTTGTCTGAGGGCATCTGGCCATCAGGCTGGATACCGTGTTCCAGACAGTACAACTCCCAGCAGGCGTTTCCGATCTGGACTCCGGCCTGTCCGACGTGGATGCTGATACATTCCCTCTGAGATTAAAAAAAATAAAATTCAGCTTAAAATTTAACATATTTGTGTCTAGTAGAGAAAATATACAACTATTGTTTTCACAACAATTATTTACTTTTTATGCTTGTCATTAAGAACATTACAATGCTTGTAAACACATAGTTAGGTTAAATATTCCTAAACTCTAAAGTCTATGTTTGAGTTGATTCAAATTTTCACTTCCTGAAGCTTTGTCCTGTTCACGTTAATATTTTCTGTTAAGTTTTTTAAAAGGAAAGATTATCGGTTTGTGTTGTATAAATCACGGACTCAGATAATTCCGTGTAAAAATTTAGAGTTCGTCATTCTTTCTAGAGACCAACCGGATGATAGAAACTTAACACTTATATTTAGATAGCATCAACTTGTTTGTTCAGACTCTCGCAATGCATTTATCAATACATTTACAATTCATCGTTTGTCTACTCAAAAGGAGATAATTTCATAACTGAAATTGTGAAAAGTCATTTGTATATTAGAATATGTAGAAATTGAAATGTAAACCACAGAAGTGAGTGTAAACGGAATATATCACACAAGTTGTTAAAAATCTCGCATATCGAACACACGATGAGAGTTTCCCTGTATACTTCTGCCCAGAGTCAAACTTATGTATTTCTCAGTAACTGCGAAACGGAATTAACTACAACGTTTGCACTTTCTTAACCTCTTATTGTATAATATTAAGTATTTTATAGCTAAATATAGCAAAACACTCAGGTTTACACTTTAAACTGCATTTAAATTCTTATATGTCTTTAAGTACATATACATGTACTTTGCAGTATATTGATTCGCTTTCTATTACAAGGCAATATCAGGGTAGCTTGAAATGTTGATATTTGTCATTATCAAATTTTTCGTGAAACTGTGAGTTAAGAACACACCATTGCTTTCACATTTCGTTGATTTTTGTTGCTGCACACGGCTAATATCTAAAAATAATTTGAATTCCTATTTAGATATAGGGATGGCTATTCAAGTGTTTAAAATAAATGACACTTTTATTAAGAATTAAATGTTATACGTGAAATGAAAATTTTAGCATACATAATTGATGAATTAAATACGTTCTGTTGGAACATTCTATTAAATGTAAAATGATTTTGAAATTTCCGATACATTCAAGACTGAAAAGTCGTTTGTCTTATTATTCAGGGTATTATTTCACGAGAGTTGTGTATTACATTTCAGATGTGTATTATGTCTGAAAATGAATTACAAATCAGTCATACTGCATCTCAAAATTTAAAGTTAAAAAAATAACAGAATCGTTGAATTTAATTAGATAGTACTTACCATATTGAAATATTTCACAACAGCTGATGATAATGGAATTTTGAGTTTTGTCTGCCACTTACTCCCACAACTTTCCACGCTTTATTGTTGACCGGAAGTTGATCGGTAAATAACCGGAAGCGGATACCGCCAGGAAAAGAGTTAATTTCCAGCGATGTGATAATGTCTGAATGACCGATCGCATAACAGATTATTACACAGTTCTTAAACCGATCGATAGGAATAAACAAATGAAACATTTTAAAACTCGTTTTTTAAAATACTTCAGCTCTGTCCTTTTCAATTGTCAGTTTGTGCCATCATTTTTCAGTTTATTCAATATGTCCATATATATAGCACGTGTATCACATCTTTAGTAAAATCTGCACGTAATTGTATCAAACTTAATGATACATGAATGACAAGGGTTTCACTTGTAAGATACTCACTCAGTTGAAACTTGCTTGAGATGATCCTGGGTAGTTTCGACCAATTACATCGTAAGAGGTAGGGCTTTCATATTTGGCATGTTTGTTTCTTGTGGCAAAACCTTTCTGCTGGTATCGTTTTTGTTCGATCAAATGACCTTGGCCATGGCCTTTGACCTCCTTTTGAATGTAAAAAGTCTTTACAATAAGTGTTTCACAAAGTGTGCATGCAATTAGTACATGATTTACACAGTTCAGTTAAAATGTTTCATTTCTGAATTTTGTTGCAACCGGGGACCTAGTGTTTCATAAACATATCTTGTTTCATATTTAACCTTCATCTGACATGTATTGTTGTTTCATGGTGTCATGTGGCCAATCAAATTATAAGGCCATTCAATTATAGATCAAAGTTGGCTGGGCATAAACGTTCGCTCGCTCAAAAGCAAAACACATGCAAAAAATGGACGTAAAAAGTATACACCTATCAGACATTTTGTACGCCGGATGATGATACTGTAACCAAACTGTGAGTATCAAGCTTTTTCAATGAATCCTCAAAAATGACTCTGATAGCGAAAGCACGTACTGATGTACACTGCAATATCCTTGTGTGTCATCTCTTACATACACATTTATGTCTTTGATAAATGTTATAAAAAAAATGTCTGAAAGCTCCCCGCTGCTAACGATCTACATTTATGACTGCGATGTCCTTAGAAGCTCTCGTGCCATTTCGTTCTTGTTGTCTATCAAGTCCGTGATGTGATACTCTTCATGTGCACGCGTATTCACGTGCACACATGCAGTCTGGCATTTCATTTCTTGTATATCTAATAGTTCTTCATTAATACCACAATGAAATCAACATTCGTTCTGTCAGAACAGCTACATCCGGTTATATATGGTACCCCAATCACTCCATTGTAATTTTAACCATCACCCAAACAGTTCCCTTCCCGACTTAAACGCTCAAATATATTTCCAGTACCACAGAATCACATACAATTTCCTCATTTCTTTGAAACCAATTTACGCACGCCAATCACGTACAGCATGAGATAATAATGTTACCAAGTTTTTTCAGTTTTATTTATTTACTTAATTATTCATTTTCAAAATTTTTAAAAATGCTGAAATTATCTTTTGCCATTGAATGATGTAATAACACAAAAATTAAAAGATAATAAATGTAACTTATTGAGAAATGAATGAATGAATGAATGAATGAAAATCGCTGAATCCTCAAGTAAGGTGCATGAAAATGTATCTACATGTCTATTCAACGGAGATTCTCACATTATATTTGCTCTCTCTAATGAACTATTATACACAAAAAGTGAATACGAAGGGCTCGGGACAAATGTGGTTTTCGAATTCTCTCACACCAAAGTAGCTGTAAATTATAAAAAAAAAATTGTCTTATTTCATTTACATTAAATGCGGAAATCTAACTTTAATTATCGTAAAAAAATCATGATACATTCACTACCTTATCGTTTTATACAATATGAACAGAATATGTATATATATCATACTCAGTGTTTCAAGGGGGGTAACTCGATTCACTAGTATAAAATACTACCAACTGCCTCTGAAATAAGACATGGCAGCTTAGACATTTTACAATTTAACTTAAAGTAACTGCAAAGAAATTTATCTATTATCCATTTTTACTTTTGAACGATTAGTCTTTGCATTTAAAGAACGAAAATATCTTTGCAAATGAAAATTTAAAAAATGCTTTTTTATCAATATAGTATAAGCAGAGATGTCTCTGGTATAAGTTATTCAGAAAAAAAATTATAAGAAATGAAAGTTAAATATAATTATCAATGTATTAATCTCCTTCACACAAAACTTAACATCGATGTGGATAGTCCATACCGTTCGTTTTTTTTTAAATTGCACGTGTGCTCTTGACTTCAGTCGCCGTCGGGTTTACTAATCGTTAGAAAAGTATTTGGTGTTATTAATTAGAGAAGTCCTTTACCTCAATCCCATATGTAGGCAAGTACATTAATGTAATTTTTGTTTGGACTTAGCAACATCAAATAAATTCGAGAGACAACTATGTTTTTGTATTTTCCGGATTAATTTGTCCGATCACGTTTTAGTCCTTCATGTTTAGATTGATAACAACATTTATTACTTCCTGTTTCAGTTTCAATGCTAAATTGTGCAATTCCGTCCCGATACGTATCGACCTTTACAGAAGGACGTTTGATGATTGGTAGTCTAAAATAGTGCTTGCGACATGATTTATGTGTTGAACTGTATCAGGTATGTATACTGCATACAAAGGTCACGTGAAGGTAGTGATAAAAATATACACTTTAGGAAAATGATGATGTTGTCTTAGTAGTCAACTCGTCCCAATACTAAGCACTGAAAAGTGTGATTGACAAGAGTCATTTTGTCTCAATTGTGACAAAATTATGTTCCGATGCATTTCGATATTACAAAATATCATGAAATAGGCACTGCCTATAAGCTAACACAAGATGCTCATTTTACCTGACTCATGATTTACTGAAGCGTGTTTTTCTTGAATTGCTAAAATTTTATAAGGTTTTAGCAAGACAAACGGTGACACATACTCATGATTGTGTTGCGTTGTCATCATCATCTTCTTCTTCTTCTAGACACTATCCTTCTTCTTGTTGTGAATCCCTCTGTTATTTAATTTCTGGTACACCGAAATTTAGCGGGTAGTATAGGTGATTAGCCTAGTGAGATATATATGTATACTAATTCACTGCTGGCAGCAGAAGTAAACAAAATATAGATACATTAGACATACAGCATAAATGGAAAATATCTCTCACTTGGAATATCATTATAGTCACTGGTAGTTAAAACACACACAGGTAGGCAATAAGCACCATTTAGAGACCACCAGACGGGATCTTTGTAGGTAGAAATTAATTCTATTACCCAGCTGTGGCTGCCCTTATCCTTCATTGCTAGTCGTTGTTGCCATATGAGGTCATGTTCAGCTGAGCCACAGCTGCATTGCTTAGAAATAGATCCCAGAGTGGTTAACATCATATCAATTTCAATTTGGATGTCGACTAGAGTGGCACCATGTAGTATATAGGTTGTCAAGCTCACACGTTAATCTGTTAGAGACTGTTTTTCGTGGAATAGTTTTAACTCTGCTGTATTCAAGGTTGTGATCTCCATTCATATAGATCTCGGTCTAGCAAATGTTGTGTAAAGCCTGTAGGAGATTATTGAGTTGACCCCGTTCTTACCATGGAGGCCTGGTC